CCATTTTCCTTCCTTCTCCAGGCCCAGTCTACCCACTTGGACCCAGTGGGGACAGCTCCCTCCAGACCCTCTGTGAGTTTCCTGGAGGCAGGAAGGCCTTCCTGTCGGTACACAGACTGGTGAGGACCAGGCAGGGGATGGGGAGAGGCAGGAACATGGCTGGGGTAGGGACTCTGTGTCTGATGATTTCGTCCTTTACTCCTTGGTAGGCAGCCTGGCTCGGAGCCGGCACAGCACACAGGGGACCATTGTGGGTTCCTTTAGGAAAACAGATGCTGGCTTGCTTGGGGGATGTGTTGAACTGTGTGTGTGAAACTCTGGGGTGAGCCAGACCACAGTGCAAATCCTCCACACGCTAGCCCCGTGGCCTTGGGAAAGTCATAAGTAAAATCTTAGTAGTTTAAGACATACATGCTTAGAACCTGGCTAGAGCTCTGTTGTGAGGGAATGGTGACAGCGTTCCATCCAGAGAGAGCCCCTGGCCATTCAGCTCAGCCCAGCAGCCCACACTGTCTCCTGGAGTGACGCCTCGGGGCCCCGGTGAGTTGTGGTGGGACACGTTCTCCCCTTCTCTGATTCGTTGGCTGGGCAATGCCGCCTGCCTTCCAGGTACCGGTACAGGTAGTGGTGCAGACAGGGGCGCCTGCTTTGGAGGAGAAGGCCTGAGATAGGTGGTGGGGGCTTGTGGGATGCAAGCTACAGCTACCAGCTCCAGCTGCCTCCAGGTTGGGTACTGCCCCTGCTGATGTCATGTGGCCGTTGCTGGTCTGGCCCTCACGCCACCTTAATACTTAGCTATTCCTTTTTTTTTTTTTTTTTTTTTTGCAGCGCTGAGGGTCAAACCCAGGGCTCTCATGCACCATGCAAGCGTTCTACCAGAATGACACCCCTAACCTTGCTCTGTTTTAAGTTCTCTAGAGCACAGCGACTAAGCACTTGTTATTATGTGCTGTCTTTATATCCTTGTTGCCCGGTAGAGCGACTGGCATTGAATGAATGAATGAAATGAATTTCCAGCCCCAGGCAGAGACGTGGCCTGAACAGGGTACACTGACAGCGCACACCATCTTGTCTGGGCATTGCCAAGTGGACATCCTAGGCAGGCGTAACAGGTTGTGTGGCACTGAAGCTGAGCGTTGGCAGGGCCACTCGCATCTTAGCATCCTTGAGGCTACAGATCCTCTCCTCTGAGGTGAGGGGCACCCTGTGTGAGATGGTGCCCACCACTGCCTTTGTGAGCTCCGGTTTGTCGTCGTTGGCTCTTGGGAACTCCCACTGCCCTGCTCCCTGGCTCAGCACCCGCTTCTGTCCCGGGAATGGAGGTCCCTTAAGTAGGGACTACAAGGCTCTGGGCATAAAGAAGGTCTTCATGATTGCCTGATGACTGAGCGGCCCTTCCGCTGGGGGGTCCCAGTGTGCTGCCCAGGGCTGTTGGCTGGAAACAGCACTCCTTCCCTGGCCTGCTCCTAGGGCTCCAGGAATGTCAAGGCCCATGGTTGGCAGGGACTAGAATTCCCAAGAATGTAATCTCTGTAGACACACTGGCCTGGGACCCAGTGACTAGATTACCTCACCCTTACTTGGGAACATGTGCTGAGAAGTGACATCAGAGGTGAGGGAGCCGACATCTCTCCCGTGAAGCAGCCTTCTTCCTCGACATGGTGCCAGGTGAGGCCATCTGGGGAACAGATTCACATAGTCCACATCTCTTTCCTGCCATGAACTCGCTGTGACCTTTTTGGTGTTGCTTGTTTGTCCCAAGTCTCCTCAGCTGTAAAACGGTCACCTACACAGAACCATGGAACATGATTTAACCATAAAGAGAAGTTAATATGGACGCATGTCACCCTGTGGACAAACACTGACAGTGTGGCTAAGTGAAAGAAAGCCTCGGATAGATGAGGGATCCAGAACAGGTAAACCCACGGTCAGGAAGTAAATTAGTGGTTGTTGGAGGTTGTAGGAGCAGCGAACAGAAAATAGCTGCTCAATGGGCATGAGTTTCCTTTAGGGCTGATGAAAATGCAAGGCTTGCAAGGCATGGAGATGCACGCCTTTAATCCCGGCATTCAAGAAGCAGAGGCGTGTAGATCCAGCCTGGTCTACATAATGAGTTCTAGGCCTGCCAGGGCTACAGAGTGAGATCCTGCCTCAAAAAAAAAAAAAAAAAAAAAGTGGAACTAGCTACAGATAAGAAGTCGCACAATGTCACTAATGTATGGCATGCCACCGAGTTGTTCACTGTAAAGCCAGGCAGCTACTTACTCACCGGGCACTTCACTTGGAAGGGCTCCAGGAAATGCCAGCTGAGCTCAGAGAGCAGCCTCGGCAACTGTCCTTAGCCTGGTGGCTATGCACTTCTTGGCCTCACTGGACCCGACTTCAGGAGTCCCAGCAGGATCCAAGGGGACAAGGACAGTTCTTGCGGCATCTGCTTTGCCAGACGTGTATCGATCAAGAGTCCTGTGCCGTAGACTCTGCCCTTTGACCCCGTCTCTGAGTCTGCCTGCCTCAGCGTTACCTGCCTCAGCGGCTGACCTCTCTGTCCAGGGTGCTGTGTGGAGAAGAGTGGGTGCCTGCAGCTGCCCACCAAGTGCTGCCGGTCATCGAGGGAGTCCAGGCTACAGATACAGAATGTCATAGTGAAGTCTGGATTTAGACCTGAAGCCTCTACCCACTCTGGCCCACCCCACCCAAACCTGTGTCCTGGCCTTGCAGCTCGCAGTGCTGGAGGAACAGCAACACCCCCCTGATTGCTGTTCAGGGCTCTGCTCCCAGCCTCCCAACCCTTCCAGGGTCTCCAACTCCTTCCAAGCTCAGGCCCTCTGCACCGCCCCCTCCCCTCCCCCCCCACGAAGCTTTTCTCAGACTTACATCCACAGCCAGCTCCTTTTCCTGAGAACCTCTGTCATAAACAAGGCAAGGCCCTGATCTGGCCTGCCTCTCCGCCCCCGGCCTTTCTCACCTAAGGGAGCCTCGGTTATAAATATGGGGGTCACACCTTATACTCGCATTCAGCACCTTTCATCTGGGGTGATCCTGGCTGCTGGGAGGCTAATTAAGCTTCTCCTCGGGAAGAGTGAGTAAGAGCTGACGGTCCCAGCCTGGGGAGCTGCCTGATGTACGCAAGGCCGGCCCTCCCGGGGAGAAAGAAGTGGGGTGAACTGTCATCTTGGGGCGCCTACCTCTCCACATTCTTTGTCATGGCACTTCCGCACACAGATCCCCATTCTCTGGCTTATAATGAAGGCCATTTATTGAGCGCTTACTATGTGCCTAGGGCTTGCTAAGCTCCTTCCATCTATTAAAAGTTAACCACATGGGCCGAGCAGCAGCGCTATTGTGAAATTGGCTCCCATGGCGGAACTTGACTCCCGTCTGGCCAGAGGCCAGTGCTTCCAACACATGACCTCATGAGAAGTCCTTCATGCCGGTCATGGAGTCAGCACCTGGGAACTGATAGCTGTTATTGTCAATCTTCAGGATCATCCAACGAGGCAGAATGCTATGCTCTTCCCATTTTCCAGATGAGGCAGCTGAGGCTCGGAGAGATTAAGTGACTTGCTGGAAATAACACAGAACCAGGAGCTGAGTTGCGAGGGGTTTGAATTGGGAAGTGATTTTTATTTTTATTTTTTAAAGTGTGTTCTCCCAGTTCAACAGTCCATTGACCAAAGGGCTTACTTTGCATAACACTGGAGTGGTGGGGGCCCTGGACAGGAACTCTCCTCTCTTCTCTCTCCCTGATGGTATGCTGGTGGGCTTCGTCATCTAATACATTCATCCTAACCCCCCATTCTTCTGATGAAGAAAGGGACTGTGCAAGGCGACAGGACCAATGGGAAATGCTCTTCGTCAAAGTCTGAACAACAAAGAGGCTGGTGCTTACCCTATCCTCCTCTCCAACTTGGCATGGGTGGTCTGCATCAAGCGTCCTTACAACAGCATTTGTGGGTGCCATGAGCCAACCTGGCCAAGCCTGGGGTCGTTAGGGAGATAAATGAACAGGAGGGGTGGGAAGTGAGCCCAAGGAAGGGACAGTGTGTCCCCTATCTGCCCTCCAAAGTGCTTGGAGCAGGGCAAAGGCAAGGTGGCCATCCTTTGTGGCCCTCCTTGCATTTCGTCACTGTGACACCAGTACCAAGCACAGGACAGGTGCGTTAACAGTGTTCACTGGAGAAATGGACACCAGACAAATCATGGAATGCATGGGTGGGAAGATGACCTTATAACTTCTTCTTTTTAAAAAATAATTTATTCTTATTTTCTGTACATTTGTGTTTTGGCTGCATGTATATCTGAGTAATGGTGTCAGATCCCCTGGAACAGGAGCTATGGACAGTTGAGAGCTGCCATGTAGGTGCTGGGAATTGACTCCCGGTCCTCCAGAAGAGCAGACAATACTCTTAACCACTGAGCCATCTCTCCAGCCCCCGACACTTTGTTTTCTTACCGCTGTGCAACACATCTGGTTCTGTCGAATGTGATCCTCCTTTAGACTTTGAGGAAGGGCTTAAACAAACCGGACTCAGTCGGTGAGAAGTTCATGGTCCATGAGCTTTTGGCCAGGGTTCCTAAAGATGGCAGATCCCCTTGGGTGTGGCTAAGATCTCAGGATCCAGGGACCCTTCTTAAGAGAAAGGTCCCTGAGTACCAGATGTCTGGGCCTTGCCCATTTGGCTTCTCTTCCTGTTCCCACAGCTTTGGCCTTCAGCCTCTGCATGGGTGGCAGTGCTCTTGTCCTCTCTCATTGCTCTGCTTGCCATACCCAGTACTTTCCTGGGTTCTCTCCAGGACCCTCCTACTCCTTCCTTCTAGTCTTCCCTTTAGGATTTCCCCAGCTTCCCCAACCCCAGTTTAAGTCCCAGATGCTTCTGGATTTGCAACGAGGCCAATGGGCCCACCATCAGCTGAGAATGCCAGGCAGGGTGAAGAGTTGTGCTTGTTTCTTTAACCGACTGAACACCACCACTCAGCAGCACAGCCCAGGACAGACCACAGGCTGTTTTCCACTTGTGATTGTAGAAACTTCCTGGAAAAAAAAAAAAAAAAAAAAGGAGTATTGTGTTTATTGCTAGTGTGTGTGGGGGGACCCAGAAATAAAATTCAACCTCGGTTTCTACTGAACACACATCACTCTTGCACCAACTTAAAGGTGAAAGCATCATAGGTTGGGGACTATTTGTGGTTCCCTATTTATAAATGGCTTCTGTGAGTACCTTAATATTTCCCTTCCTAAGAATTTGGAAACTTTTTCCAATTGGGGCTGGTGAGCTGGCTCAGCTGGTAGAGGTGGTTTGCAAGTCTTGATGGCCTGAGTTTGGTCCCCAGAATCCGCGTGTTGGAAGGAGGGAACCCAGTCTTGAAAACTGCCCGACTTAATGCAAGCACGAATGTGTGTGTGTGTGTGTGTTATAGTCTTTTTCACACTCACATATACTATTTATATTTTCATAAGTGTATTAAAACATTTTCAAGGGGCTGAAGAGATGGCTCAGCAGTTAAGGACATTGGCTACTCTTCCAGAGGACCCAGCTTCAATTCCCAGCACCCACACGATAGCTTACAACCATCTTTAACTCCGGTTCCAGGGGATCTGAAAGGTCCCCTTGTGGCCTCAGAGTGCACTGCACACACAGGGCACACACAAATGCAGCAGGCAAACACACTCAGACACATAAAATTTAAAACGTTTTCACATGCAGTCTTAGATTTATGAGCCTATTCTGCTAAGAGCCATGTGGGTGGAACTTTGTCAGGCTCACAGTTTATCCTCTGGGATAAATTATGTCCACGGGGCATATTGTGTACTGGTTGTGTATGACAGAATCTGGGCCTGGGGTAAATAAATGAGCTGTTTTGATGCTTTGATGGCTCCGCGTGCGCTGTTCTGCACACGGACCGCTGGAGGGCAGTGTTGCCACGTCCATCGCCCAGCCTCGGGTGGCGGGAAAGACTCCGGGAGGCGGGCGGCTGTTGCGGGGAGACCGGCGGAGCGGCCGCGGCCTGGTCCCCAGCGGGGGGCCGTGGGAGGCGGAGGCTCGGAGCAGCCGAGGGGCCCGCAGAGGTCCCGGAGCTCCGGGCGGGCCGCGCTGCCGCTCCGCCGCGCCCGGGTCTGGAAGGTTCGCGAGGCTCCCGGGGCGCAGGGGAGGAGGCTCCGTCGGGCCGGCCGGGGCGGGGTGCCAGAGAGGGCGGCGGAACCTTGACCGCGGCCCCGGAGGCAAAGGGCAGCCTCCGCGTGATGACTGGGCGAGCAAAACAAGCCGGCCATCTTGGCGCCCTTAACCCGCTCCTGACCGCTCCGGGCCTGGCTAGGGGTCCGGCCACTGAGCTCTGCGGCAGGCCTGGGATTTGGAAATCGAAATGCCAAGGGCGCGGGGAGGAATTTCTAAGAACGGCCGAGGCCCTGGCACGTTCCCCCTGCGTGTTTGGAAATGCTGTCAGTTAGCCCTTAGCAGGCAGGACCCCGGCTTCAGTCAATGATTGGATTTGCCCCAGTCGCCTCCTCGTTCGTTTTGCCCTATATTCAAAGAAAATAGTCTTGGGTGGTTGAAATAGGTCAAAGTGATCATCAGGCTGTCGTCTGGCAGCTCGGCGTCAGGGTCCGAGCAGCGAGGTGGTATGCCCTGAGGTCATACCAACCCAGGGTCAAGGACTGGCTGGCTGCTCCAGTGCTGTATGTGGCCAGCTCATTTCCAGTTTCTCAGTCGTTCTGATGTCATCTGAGGAGCAGAAGACCCCACCACCCATCCTGTCTGCCTAGTTTGCACATAGGGGTCGTCCTATCATTTGTAGTTGTCAGTTCTAGCATATTTTGTTTTTCTGTCAGTTCTTCAAGGTCTATATGAGAGCAGTCCCACCAGGAAGCCTTCCACTCCCCCCCCCCCCCTTGTTTCCAGTGAATTTTGTCTCTTCCTGGCTGGCTCACCTTCATACCATCATCCATGGACCTCCACTACCCTCCTCAGTCTTGGTGGCTGCACCCTCCCCATTTGAATCCGGAGGACTCATGACTGTCAGGCCCATGTGAAATTGGTCTTCCTTACTGGGTACGGGGGAGGGAGGGGTCATTCAGGAAAGGATCCTTGCAAGAGAATTATCAAGTGACTGAATGCATTTTAATCTGGGTTTGGGCAAGGTTCACAGATGTTTTGAACCTTGAGCAAAGGAATATGTAATGGTGTTTTCTTAAGCCCTGCAATGGAATCCTTTTGTGTGCTTAACTATTGAAAGACGTTCTGAGTAGAAATGTCGGGGCTCTGTAGGAACTGAAACCCTAGGTGTGAAAGAGACTGAGTAGTAGGTTTCCGAGCCCCTGTGTTCCTCTGTGCCCCAGGCTGTGAGCAATGACACGACAATCAGCCTGTCAAGACTAGGACCAGCTGAAGACTGTCTAAGATGGCGGTTCTCAACCTGTGGCTTTGTAACCCCTTTGGGGTCAAACGACCCTACCAAAGGGGTCACCTGAGACCACTGGAAAACACAGATAGTAGCAAGCCTACAGTTATGAAGTAGCAACGGAAACAGTTTTATGGGTGGGGGGTCAGCACACCATGAGGGACTGTATTAAAGGGTACATTAGGAAGGTTGAGAACCACCGGCCTGAGCGCTTGGTAGCACTTGAGGCTGAGGTCACAGGCAGAGGCGGGAGTGATGTGCCCGTAGCAGTTTGGAGAAGGTGGATGCTGATGGAGTGATCCTTTCTTTCTCCTTTTAAAAGATGAAGCCCAAGAAGCCCAGAGTTCTCCCGTGAAGGACTCCTGAAAACTCTTTCATGCTCCAGCCACAGATGATTTGCTGAATGCTCATTAAGGGGAAAACAAAGAGGTGGTTTTGTTTATTTATTTAAGAGGAAAAATAAATGAGCTGTGACAAAACAATTTGAAACCAGGCCCCTCTGAGACCTGGGCTTTCACTTCCTTGATGGGAAGTAAAACAGAGAATGAATCCCCCCGCCAAATAAAAGTGAAGTTAATAATCAGACAGCTCAAGCCCTGGCCACATCCTGTGTCAGCTGCCTCCCTCCCAGGGCTCACTGTTTATAGCTGCTGAGCCGTCCTTCGCAGCCTAGAGCAGGTTTAACTCTTTCCTCCCTGCCTCGGGCAAGCCCACAGGCTGCTCTGACTGCA